CGGTGCTTGCTGTTGGAACTGTGGAGGACCAAACCCAGGTGGTGCCTTTTGCTGCTGTGTATTGAAACTAGGGCCCTGAAATGGTTGCTGTTGTTGACCAAAACCTTGATTCTGACCAAACTGATTCTTTGGTTGAAAAGATCCTTGAAAGTTGTTCTGAGGAACAAAGTTCTGTGGAGCTTGAGGATTGGAATACACCTGGTCTTGTGGGTTAGCTACATTGGTGTTCCTGTAAGAGAGGTTTGGGTTGGCATTACCATACTGATACCTCTGGAACCTCTGATTCCCAATGTAGTTTAGTTCCTCTTTGGTTAGACCTTCTTCACTGATGTTCTCAAAGACTTGAGATGGTTCCTCATACTCTCCAACAAAATGCATTGGCTTGTGAGTTACCAGCTTCAACTTGTCTAATTCACTTCTCAATTCCTTTACTTCTCTGGTGAGCCTCTGTTCTGAGCTTGAACCTTCATTCCCATTTGATCTGTCATACGCACTGTGGTCACAAATATCGTTATGATATGATTGACATTTGAGTCGGTGAGTGAGAGAGTCCACCAGAAAGTTCCCATTGGAAGCAGTATCCAGCTGGTTTCTAATCTTGGGAAGAGCTCCCCTATACAGTGTGCTGAGAAGAGAAGCCTCACTAAACCCATGGTGTGGGCATTGGTTTGTGTAGCTCCTGAATCTCTCATATGCTTCACCAAAACTTTCATTGCTGTGCTGAGTGAAGCTAGAGATTTGGTTCCTCAGTTTTGCAGTTCTTGAGGTAGAGAAGAACTTAGATAAGAAGGCTTGCTTGCATTGCTCCCAGGTTTGAATGGAGCCTCTTGGAAGATTCTTTTCCCATTGATGAGCTTTATCACCAAGACTGAATGGGAATAGTCTTAGCTTAAAGCTGTCTTCTGAAACTCCATTGATCTTGGTCAGATCACACACCTTATCAAACTGGTCCAAGTGTTCCAAGGGATCTTCCATTGCTAACCCATGGAACTTTGAGTTCTGGACCATATTCAGCAGTGATGCTTTCACTTCAAAGTTGTTGTTTTGCCCAGGTGGTGCCTGAATACCAGCTCCATACTGATGAGCATTGGCCCTGTCATTCTCTCCAACATAGACTTGGGGTTGCTCATATCTTCTTTGCTGTGGTTGGAAAGGGTGGGGTTGGTGGTGCACCTGGTGTCTTTGCTGAACATTGGCCTGATGCCTCTGTTGATGATCTTGAGCTTGTCCCTGGTGGACATAAGCTTGTTGATGGTGCACCTGTTCCTGCTGAACATTACCCTGGTGAAGCCCTTGACCAACTCCAATACCAGCTCCATGACCTTGAGCCTGTTGCTCCTGAACTGGTTGTTCTATATCTACCACGTGATCTCCTTATTCTGCCATCTCAGTCTGATCAATTTGTCTACCACGTCTGTCTCTTCTCCTCCTTGGTACCAAAAGGTTGATGTTGTCGTTTAGAGGAAAAGGAGGACCACAGCTTCTTGATCTAAACCTGGTGTTCATACACCTGAAATCACAAACAGAAATTGAAAGGAATCAGTAGAAACAAGAAAGTAAGCACTTGATCTCAAGAACAGATCAGAGCTTAATGCTAATCAAACCACAATTTGGCAACGGCGCCAATTGATAGACAAAACTTTTTAGGGTCTCAGGGCTATCAATCCCCTTGTCAATGTAGCACAAAGAGGTTTATCAATCCAGATGTGGTGTTAGACACTAAGCTATATGATCAAGTTCTTAATTCAAGCAAACAAGAGTGGGTTTTGATTAATCTAGAGACAACTATAAACATAAACAGGATTAAAGACTAATGACAATGACAAATGATATGATGTGAATATGATATGATGGAGGCATGAGATTCTAGACATGATAGTTGGTCAGGGTGCCTTGGTGTTAAACTAGAAATGCTAATGACAATGATGAGACATGATTTAAGTGATTAAGAACTCTAATCTAGGTTAATCCTCTCATGAAGGTATTAACCCCTATACTAATCCATTTTCAAACCAAATTCCCATTTGTGAAATATGAATCAATATGCATTAATAAACAGTTCTCAATGATCATTCAAGCATTTAACAAATCATTCCCATGATGAAAAATTACTTAAACCTCTAACACAACTCTTTCAGGAATTTCATCAAACACTTTTGGTGCATGAAATTCCCAGAATCTAGATCTCAAGTGATTATCAAGGATCTAGCATAGAGAACAGTTGTTTAGAGAAATGAATCAATGAATCTAGCCCTAAGCACTCCCAATCTAACACTTTAGCACCCTAACCTACACATCTAGAACCTCATTAAGGTGACTACTCACTAATCATGATCAACACACTAAACCCTTTGCAAGATGTGTTGTTAATCATGATTAGAAGTTGATTCTGATGATAAGAAATGATGAACAAGATGGAAAGAAACTGCAAATCGATTTAAACTCTCTAAAACAAAGTGTATTAAGTGGTTTTTCACAAAAGGGGAAAAAAGACTAAAAGTAGATTCAGTGTTCTCTACAAATTAGGTCTAAAAACCTTATAAAGGAGGCTTGGGTGAACCGGGTCAACCCGGAACAAACCGGGTACTGACCCGGCCTTGATGGGCAAAGAAGGGTTTGCCACGGTCTGGTGTGTCCTTGGTGTGACCGTGGCATTCCTGACCGTGTCAAAGACTTCATTGTGTTCTTGGTTCATTTTGATGCCACGGTCTGATCAAGCTTCATCTGGGACTCGTGGCAAGTTAACCGTGTCAAACGCCGAAGATGTGTAAAGGTTGCCACGGTCAAGCCCCCAGACCGTGGCATTCAGACCGTGCCAAAACCCGCATGCATGTGAAGTCCTTCCCAGCCAAGTATATGCTTGCCACGGCCAAGTCTCAGGCCGTGGCATTGAGATCGTGTCAAAAGCCGAAACTGTGTAGAAGTTATCTCCAGCCACTTGTTCATTTGCCACGGTCAAGTCCCAGACCGTGGCATTAAGCTCGTGCCAATCGCCGAAGGTTGCAAGATGTTGCCACGGCCAAGCCTCACACCGTGGCATTTAGGCCGTGTCAATCGCCGAACGGTTGCTAAGTTCCTCTCAGCCAAGTGTGTGTTTGCCACGGTCAAGCCTCACACCGTGGCATGAAGATCGTGTCATTGGCCGAGGGTGCACAAAAGTTGCCACGGCCAAGTGTGGACCGTGGCATTGAAATCGCGGCATGTTTAACTTAGTCATCCTGGGCTGTCTGCACCATCTCGCATTCCGGAGAGTGTAACTTCCTGGAGACCTGTCCGAATTGAGTAATTACGGTTGCAGAAGACAGAGGACTCATTTATCTCCAACTTTGATGAAGGAAGTTTCAGTGCTTGGGAAGTGTAAGGTTTCCTGGAGGGCACATCTTTGAAGCGGATTTACACGACCAGAGAGAGGCGCCTAGACATGTGTCCATTCCGGAGACCGTATCTTTCTGCTCAAAGCTCTGAATTGATTGATCTCGGATGTTCTGGAAAGAAGACTCAAATGTCTCTGATTCTTATGAAGGTCCCGGAAACTGAATCGGCCTGGAAGTGCACCGTCCTTCGCATCCTTCAAAACTGATCTGCTCGGTCCGGAATACCTGCGAGACAGGGGTTCCTTCCGACGAGCTTATCTCTCTGCTCACGCGTCCGAATTCCACGATTCCACTTGCTATGAGACCGTGCTCTAATGCTCTCCAACTTCTATGAAGGACCCGCCGTCTGAATCGGACCGGAAGGCTCCCCGGACAGGCGATTTCTGAGACTCGTTCACACCCGGAGATTTTGGCCGATACACTTCATTCGCGGTACATGGAAATGGCCGGTAAAGCTTCCTGCGGTACACGAAAATGGCCGGTGAAACCTTCCTGGCCAGCGAGAATGGCCGAAAATCTCCCAAGACCCAATTTTTCCACTTTTTCACTCTTTGCTCACCATTCCACCTCCTGGATTCATCTTTTCAGCTCCATATTCACCTGATAGACACTCAAAACATGCAAAGACTCATTGGGACCTAATGCATCTCCTAAGTTCTAAAACAAACCCTAAGGACCTAAAATGCATGAAATAAAACATGATTTGGAATGATTTATGCAACCTAAATGATGCAAATTATGAACATATCATTACCAACTCCATCGGGTGTCAAAACGATATGGGGAAATCAGAATGAGTCAAGAATGTGCTGCCTAACCGAGCACAAGCTGAGGAACCCCGTCACTGACGCACGAGCAGATATAGACCGCAAAAAGATGAAGACAGACCGAGAGCCCGCGAACGAGCTCTCGAAACTCTTATAGCAATTACAGATAGCTGAGAGCCGCGAAACACGCGCCGAGCCGGTATGTGACGCGGTGGACTCGGTGTGTATAGACGAGGCGCGCCCGGAACGATGCGTCAAAATAGGAACAAAGCTGGAAGAACCCCTGAGAAGCGAACTCCTTTCCCTCCTCAAGGAGAACATCAACACCTTTGCCTGGACAGCGGAAGATATGCCAGGCATAAGCATTAACGTAACCTGTCACGAGCTGAATGTGGATCCGACCTTTAAACCAGTCAAGCAGAAAAGAAGGAAGCTCGGCCCCGAACGAGCTAAAGCAGTGAACGACGAAGTCGAGAAGTTACTCAAAGTAGGATCAATCGCCGAGGCCAAATATCCGGACTGGCTCGCAAATCCGGTGGTCGTGAAGAAAAAGAACGGCAAGTGGCGAGTATGTGTGGATTTCACCGACCTCAACAAGGCGTGTCCAAAAGACAGCTTTCCCTTGCCACATATCGGCCGACTCGTCGAAGCCACTGCAGGGAATAGACTGTTAACATTTATGGACGCGTTCTCTGGCTACAATCAGATCCTGATGCATCCTAATGATCGAGAAAAAACAGCGTTCATAACGGATCGCGGGATATACTGCTACAAAGTCATGCCGTTCGGGCTCAAGAACGCAGGAGTAACGTATCAACGGCTCGTCAATAAAATGTTCGCGGCTCAACTCGGAAAAACCATGGAAGTGTACATCGACGACATGTTAGTTAAATCACTCAAAGAGGAAGACCACGTCGCGCATCTACGGGAATGCTTCGAACAATTGAACAAGCACAACATGAAACTAAACCCGGCGAAGTGCAGGTTTTCGGTCACTTCGGGAGAATTCCTCGGCTATCTGGTAACTCACCGAGGCATAGAAGCAAACCCCAAGCAAATCAAGGCGTTAATTGAGATGCCCTCTCCAAGGACGAAGCGCGAAGTGCAGAGGCTCACAGGTAGAGTCGCCGCGCTAAACAAGTTTATTTCCCGCTCCACAGACAAGTGCCTGCCCTTCTACGACACCCTCCGAGGAAACCAGAAGTTTGAGTGGGACGAACGGTGCGAGACAGCTTTCCAGGAATTGAAGAATTATCTAGCGAGCCCACCAATCTTAGCAAAACCAGTCGAAGGAGAGCCGCTCTTCCTCTACATCGCAGTGTCTGCTACAGCTGTAAGCGGAGTGCTTATCAGAGAAGAACGGTTCGAGCAAAAACCCATTTTCTACATCAGCCAGACACTGACCGACGCCGAGACTCGCTACCCTCAGATCGAGAAGGTCGCCCTAGCCATCGTAGTCTCGGCTCGCAAACTGCGCCCGTACTTTCAATCACATTCGATTGTTGTGCTCGCTACGCTCGATCCTACACAGACCTAGCCAATCCGGTCGGCTCGCCAAGTGGGCAATAGAGCTAAGCGTATACGACATCGAGTATCGGAATAGGTTGTCTGCAAAGTCACAGGCGCTCGCAGATTTCCTCATTGAACTTCCCGCCGAAACAACAAACGAGCCGACTCTAGATGAAGTGTGGACGCTGCACGTCGACGGCTCGTCGTCTAAACACGGCTCGGGAATAGGAATCCGCCTCACCTCTCCCACCGGAGAAATATTGGAACAGTCTTTTCGTCTGAACTTCCACGCCTCGAACAACGAAGCGGAATACGAAGCACTGATCGCCGGCATACGACTAGCGCAGGGAATCGGAGTTCGAAAGATAAGAACCTTTTGCGATTCACAGCTTGTAGCATGTCAATTCAACGGAGAATATGAGGCAAAGGATGGACGAATGGGAGCTTACCTCAGGGTGGTCCGAGAATTGGTACAAAAGTTTGATGAGTTCGAACTCACGCTCATTCCCCGAGGAGAAAACACCTCCGCCGGCGCCTTGGCAGCACTCGCCTCGACCTCGGACCCAGACCTCCGACGAACGATCCCAGTTGAATTCATCGAACGTCCTAGCATCGAAGAGATGGAAGGAGTTCGGCTGATAAATCCTCCTGAACAAGAACCAGAGGACGACGAAGCCATTCCTATGGACGAAGACCCTCAACCGGCCGAGCCAGAGTACGGCTGCGACAAAGAATGGCTCGGAGCTATCCGAGTATATATCGCCCATGGAGAGTTGCCGACCGACAAATGGGAAGCCCGCAAACTAAAAGCTCAGGCCGCACGATATGTCCTCGTTGATGGCGAGGTGTTTAAATGGAGATTTTCAGGGCCTCTCATGACATGCGTCGAAGGACCAGAAGCAAGAAAGATCATGCACTAGGTGCACAGCGGCACGTGCGGGAACTACTCCAGCGGAAGGTCGCTCGCTATCAAGATAAAACGGCACGGCTATTTCTGGCCCACGATGGTTAAGGACTGCGAGAAATTCACGGCGAAGTGCGAGAAATGTCAGCGGCACGCTCCAACAATTCATCAACCTACCGAGTTGCTCTCGTCAATTTTGTCACCTTATCCGTTCATGAGATGGTCGATAGACATCGTCGGACCTCTACATCGCTCGAAGCAGACGCGTTTTCTGCTCGTCCTCATGGATTACTTCTCCAAGTGGGTCGAGGCCGATTCTTACGCAAGCATAAAGGATGTTCAAGTCGAACACTTCGTCTGGAAATATATCATCTGCCGACACGGGGTCCCTTACGAGATAGTCACCGAGAACGGATCCCAGTTCATCTCAACACGCTTCGAAGCCTTTTGCGAAAAGTGGAAAATCCGCCTCAGCAAATCTACGCTAAGGTACCCTCAAGGGAACGAACAAGCCGAAGCAGCCAATAAGACGATCCTCGACGGTCTGAAAAAGAGGCTCGACGCCAAGAAGGGACGGTGGGCAGACGAACTCGAAGGAGTCCTTTGGTCTCATCGGACAACTCCGCGCCGAACCACCGGGGAAACTCCATTCGCTTTGGTCTACGGATCGGAGTGCGTAATTCCCCCTGAGGTGGATTTCCCAGGTATTCGACGAAGACTTCTACCAGGACAGGAGGGCTTGAACCACTTAATGATGCTAGATGAGCTCGACCTAATCAACGAAAAGCGTGATCAAGCCTTAATTAATAATTCGAATCCAGAACTATCAACAACCGACGGCGAGATACTACAACAAAAACGTTCGAAGTCGAAGATTCAAAACAGGGGAGCTCGTCCTCCGAAAGGTCTTCCAAAACACTGCCGAGAAGAACGCAGGAAAGCTCGGAGCAAATTGGGAAGGTCCTTACAAGGTCACAAAAGTGGTTCGTCCAGGAGTCTACGAACTCGCGACACTAGCTGACGAGGCGATTCCAAGATCATGGAACGCAATGCATCTGAAGAAATACTATCACTAACGATGCAGCACGACCAGCATGAACTACGGGATGGCTTGATCCCTGCAAAGGGTACGTAGGCAGCCCGTCCTCGGACGGGTTCAGCTGTCCCCCCTCCTAAAAAGGGGGGGGAGTGGTTTGTTCATTATCGCTTCGGCTAGTGTCTCATTCTTTCTAAATCAGCAACTTATTTTAACAAGCTCGGATTTTTAAATACTTTCACTCATCACTTCGGCGAGTAATCATACCACTTCGGCATGATATCATGACCTGATTACCTCGGACCTTTGTTGGTCCTCAGTTTCAGTTCGGCAAACTAAGCCTCCGAACGCCTCGTCTCGTTGCTGGCCACAACGGGGCAACAAATACAAAGTTCTCTAAACGAACTTTTACCACCTTTCCTAGGACGAGGGTGCAAGTTACATCATCTACGGATAACAATGAAGCGCGCTATACAAATATCAGACCGAAAACGTATCAGGTCGCCAAGGTTTACTATCGCATACGAGAATATAAGTCGAGACTACATCGCTTTCTCTAAAACCGAAGTAAACTCTTAAAACCCGGACAAACATACTCATCCTCTCGGAAACACCGGTCCATAGTCAGGATCGATAACACTTCATCCTTGGCTAACAAAAACAAAATGCCTCGTCGTTTACACGGCTCGGCACTATACAAAGCGAAAACGCCTCGTCGTTTACTCGGCTCGGCACCATGCACGGCGAAAACGCCTCGTCGTTAAAAACAGCTCGGCATTGCCACGAAAACTTGCTGCAACATTATCACTCAAAATCTTTCCAGCATCACCTAAAGGATGTTCCACAAAACTAACTCCCAGCTCGGGATTAAGAATCCAAACGAGACCCTTAAACAACTCAACCCTTAGCCCGTCTTTTCTATCGATTTCCAAGAATTCAGTTAAGGAAGCAATCAAAATCATTCCCGACACAACAGTTTTCGACAATCTTCTCTAAGCCATTGGTTTTCACAGACTTTTGCACAAGTCATTAAAAATAAGTGCATCCAAACAAAAAACGGCTAAAGGAGAAAATAATATTCATAGGCAAAAATAAGTGTCGGGTGGATAAAGCCGTCCAGGCACCGGTTACATACAGAGTTCAAAAAACATACAAAAAACCTAAGTACAAAAGCATGAAAGACGAAACAGGGAAAAGCAGAGGGTATCAGGCCGCGGACTGCGTCTCACGTTCAGCGAGGAGGTTTGAGAGGACCGGCGTGCCAGCGTTTGATCTGTTCGGATCTACCACGCCTAAGTTGGCCGCTGTCTCTTCGAGCGGCTCGTTGCTGAGGGTGGTGTCAACCGAGTCCGGTGATACGGGAGAGTAATACAGCTCGCCCTGAATCTCGGAAGCAATACGCTCGTTCGCCTCGTCGTCGGCATACTCACTCTCCCAGCTTTTCAGCTTCGCCTCCTCGTCGTCAAGCGTCGGGGCATCTGGCTTCTTCAGGTCGGCAATCATCGCAAGATTGCCCTTGATCTGTCCCAGATCGTTCTCATCATTTTTGGCCTTCTCGAGCTTGACCAAACCCTCCTCCACCTTGGCAAGACGTTCCTGAAACTTCGCCGTCAGCTAGCGCCTCGCCTCCTTCTTCGCGCGTTTGACCTTGGCTTCGAACAGCGCGTCCTTGGCCTCGATACGCCTTTTAAGCAACGCCACCTCGGCGCTTTTGGCTCTCCTTGCTTTCTCCAGGCGAATCACCGAAGCGGAAACTTTGTTGACGTCTGCTCGGAGAACTATCTTCTCCTCTTCCAACTTCGACACTCGGGTCATCGCCTCGGTGAGTTTCCCCTTTGCTGCCGCGGCTTCGCTTTGCGCCTATTCCAGCTTCACCTTTGACGCCGCGGTCTCATTTCGGGCCTCGTCCAAACGACGCTCGACCTTAGACAGGTCCGCCTCATATTCGGCCATCAGGTCGTTAATGGCCGCGACAAACTGCAGAGAACAAACCTGCGTTAAACACTTCGTAAAGTTCAAAAAAATAGAGGAAACCGAATAGAAATGTACCTTGGTACCGCGCTGCGCCATCGCGCCGTATGACCTCGGCCTCCTCAGCTTCTCCGGAGGAGGAAGACGCGTGTTCGCGTTATTTACACGCGAGAACATGACGGCAGAAGCGTCGGGGTCGTCAACAACCAACACGCGGTGGGGTCCTCGGGCGTTGTTTTCCGCCTCTTCTTGGACGGCTCGTCCTTCTGAACAGCGACGCCTTTCCCCTTGTCATTAGCCGAACGTTTTCGGCTAGAGTCATACTTCTGGACGACCGAAGTCGGTGGCCTCGTCGACTTCGGGAGGGCCAGGATAGCGGATTGCGAAGGAGTCTTACTCCGCGCCGCCGAGCCGTCCCCGGACACCTCGGGGATAATTTCACCCGGTTCCACCTCGGGCACTACATCTTTCTCAGCCGCCTCGGCAGTGTCGCCTTCTGCGGCTCGGATCATCACATCGCCTTCCCGGCTCGGAGGGTCGGGTTGAAGGATGGCCTCGGTTTGCGCGTGAGCCGCCTCGGCAGCTCGTCTAGCGGTTTCCTCTTCCTCGCGCCTCTTCCTTTCTCTAAGGGCGATTATCACCATCTTCTCCCGGGTATCTCTCGAAGAACTTGAGGACGAAGAACTGACGGGGACTCCGGCAAGGATGGCTCGCGCTTTTTCTACTCTTTCGAGGGTAAAGTTCTTTCTCCAATTAACCTTCCGCGCCGAAAGAGAGTCTCGAACAGTAAAGATTTCGTCGGGAATCGGGGGAAGAAAGCACCGAACTGCAAAACAAAGCAAAAAGGAAAAATCTTCAGAAAAGGAAGAGGATACCAAAAACAGTTCCGAGCCGAGGCAAAGCTTCGGGTCGGCTACCAAGTGGTCCCGAAGCGGTCTTGGTGCTTTGAACGTAATTCTCGCCGACTACGCCTCGTTCACTAAGACGTAGAAGAAACGTTCAGTCCAAAACTGATCCTTGCTGGGAAAACCGCCGATGATCCGTCGTTTTGCCTTGTTGGAAATATAGAATCTATTTCCCTTCGGAGCTTTCCGGATTTCCAGCAAGTTCAGCAGGTGATTCAGCTCGATATCAACTCCGCACTCGAAGCTTCGAACTAAGATGCCAATCATATGCCGTAATCCCCTCGGCATGATTTGCCCAATCGAGATCCCGTGCTTCCAGAGATATTCAAGGATCACTCCGGGGATCGGGAACCAGAGGAAGCAAAGCTCGAAGAACCCCTCGTACAGAGTAAAATGATTCTCTAGAGGCTTGTCGGCTCGGTTGCTCTTCTCTGGAACGACGAACTCCACCGCCTCGGATATCTCGAAGCGATGCCTCAACGCCTCGAGCGACTCAAGGGAGCAAAGCGTAGAGCCAGGTGGGTCAGGTTTTTGTCTCTTAACTCTTGGTCCTCGCCCAGATGTGGAAGCGCCTCGGGATGCCATGAGACGTTCCAGCTCACGCTTCGCCTCGAATAGGTCAAAGGGAAATGCCTCCTCCACGGGTTTGACTGCGGCGCGGTTGATGCCTTCATCAGGAATAGGATCCTGGGGACGGCTCGTCGAAACCGACAGCTCGTCACCTGTAGAGTCGATATCTGACGGATTTGCGTGTTTCGACGCCTCGTCAGATGAACGATTGGAAGGGCTCGGTGAAACAGATGCCTCGGAGGATTCTGTTGTACCTCTCGCCTCGGCGTCTACACGGCTCGGCTCGTAGTGAAAGAGTGAATCCAACGAATCGTCGGAGTGGCTCGACATAATTTACGACTTGTACAAGAATTACAGCACGACTCGGCGAGCCTCCGCCGGGAAAAGATCTGGAGCGGCGGAGACCTCAGAAACCCTAGCCGGAAAATAAATAAACTAGAGAGAGAAAGAAGAGAGAAGGGAGAGCTACCTTTAGTAAAAACGAGTGAGTCTGAAGATAATGAGGAAGAATGAAGGAGCTCACCCATTTATAGAAAAAATGAAGCGCGTGAATTCCGTGTGAACCTCGGGAACCGTCCAAACAGCGCGTGGGATCCGAAGTAAAATGGCTAGATCAAACTGCGTCGGTCACACGCGCCAATAAATCAGGAATCTTCTCTCGGAAGACCAACGGTCTGGGCACCCAAGCTTTCAGGCGTTATCTCTCTCTTGAAACGCCTCAACGAAACGGCTCGGCGTTATCTCTCTTTCGAAACGCCTCGTCATTAATGAAACGGCGCGGCATTATCTCTCTCTCGAAACGCCTCGTTGTTAACGAAACGGCTCGACATTATCTCTCTCTCGAAACGACTCGTCGTTAACGAAACGGCTCGACATTATCTCTCTCTCGAAACGCCTCATCGTTAACGAAACGGCTCGGCATTATCTCTATCTTGAAACGCCTCGTCGTTAACGAAATGCCTCGTCGTTAACGAAACGGCTCGGCATTATCTCTATCTTGAAACGCCTCGTCGTTAACGAAACGCCTCGGCACGAACTCTCTCTCGAAACGCCTCGCCGTTTATTTGGCTCGGCATAACCACCATTAAATCGCCTCGTCACGGCTCATCATTGCTATACAAAATCGCCTCGTCCTTAACTCGCCTCGGCATCTTCAGTACCCTTTCGAAACACCTCGGCACCCTCGGCATTCCTTGGAAACGCCTCGGCATCTGCACTCCCAAAACACCTTATCTGGGCTTACGTCATAACAGCTTGGCTCGATGGTTTATCTTACGGTCAGGAGTAATGGACCTCGTCATTCTCGTCTCCGAAACTGACGAGCTGGGGGGCTAACTGTTGGGGTCGGTTCTCACCCCGCACAGATAAAACCATCCCAAAATGACTAAGTATGGAAAGTGGAAGAGCCGTGGCCACCAAATGGGAGAGCCGTTCTCACCAAGGCAAGAGGGAGAGCCGTTTCCACCAAGACAAGCAGGAGAGCCGCGATCACCAAGTGGGAGAGCCGTGAAGAAGGAGAGATGGGCCGAGCCGTATTATAAGAAATGGGCCGAGCCCCTCTCTAACATACCTGGGCCGAGCCGTGCTGCAGTAAGGTGGACCGAATCATGTCTCGACTAAGGTGGCAAGTGGGCCGAGCCGTGGAGAAGTTAGATGGGCCGAGCCGTGGAGAGGTTAGATGGGCCGAGCCGTGTAAAAGTTAGATCGGCTGAACTAAAGCCTTGAGAGACGAAGCCCATGAAAACCCTAGGCGAAATACAAAGGCGGTGAGCCGCACGAGGCGATAAGGAAATATTCCGAAAATCTCTCCCGAGATTCTCGGCTAGGCGGTTCGAAGAATTAGTATAAATAGATGATGTAAACAATTCACTCTGTAACTTTTGCAACCCTAAGCAATAAAGACTAAACACTCTACAGCAAGAAAAACTTTCTTTTGATCTTACTGTTTTTGGCGATAAACCCTAGAAGTTTCCGATCCCTTAATTTTTCCTTAGACAAATTTCTGGTTGTGCGAGTTTTGGCTCACACAATGATCAAGGATGCATTAGTCAGTGCACCAATTGTCCAAGCCCCAGACTGGTCCCTTCCTTTTGAGGTTATGACAGATGCATCTGATTTTGCAATTGGAGCAGTACTTGGCCAAAGGAAAGACAAGAAGTTACATGTTATCTACTATGCCAGTAGAACACTTGACTCTGCACAAGAGAAGTATTCTACCACTGAGAAGGAAATGCTGGCAATAGTCTTTGCCTTTGATAAATTCAGAAGCTACCTGGTGGGATCAAAAGTCATTGTATATACTGATCATGCAGCCCTCAGGTATCTGATGACCAAGAAAGATGCTAAGCCAATACTATTGAGATGGGTTCTTCTACTTCAGGAGTTTGATATGGAAGTACAGGACAAAAAGGGTATAGAGAATGGAGCTGCAGACCATCTCTCTAGGTTGAGAATAGACTCTGAAGTCCCTCTTAATGACAGTCTTCCTGAGGAATCACTGATGGTGCTCCATTCTTATTTTGAGTTTGAAGAAGTGGATAGCATTCAAGAGAGGAGGATGTCCTGGTTTGCTGATATTGTGAACAATCTTGCTTGTGGAGTGGAACCACCTGAACTTGATGCTTACCACAGGAAGAAGTTCTTCAGAGATGTTCAAAGATACCATTGGGATGAGCCTTACTTGTATGTCCTGAACAAAGATCAGCTGTATAGAAGGTGTCTTGCTGAGGAGGAGATGTAACCTATGTTGCAAGAGTGTCATGGTTCAGCTTTTGGGGGTCACATGGGAGCATTCAAGACTGTGGTCAAGGTTCTTCAGAGTGGGTTTTGGTGGCCCACAATGTTCAAAGATGCTCAGTTAGTTGTTTCAGCATGTGATGCTTGTCAGAGGCATGGGAACATATCAAAGAGGAGTGAGATGCCTCAAAACCCAATTCTAGAAGTTGAGATCTTTGATTGCTGGGGGATTGACTTCATGGGGCCCTTCATTTCATCCTATGGGAATCAGTATATACTTGTTGCTGTGGACTATGTGTCCAAATGGGTTGAGACCATTGCTTCCCCTACCAATGATTCCAAGGTTGTAGTGAAGCAGTTCAAGAGCATTATCTTCCCAAGATTTGGAGTACCCAGGGTTGTTATCTCTGATGGAGGATCTCATTTTGTGAACAAGACTTTGGAGGGATTGCTGAGAAAGCATGGAGTGAAACACAAGGTAGCTACTCCTTATCATCCTCAAACTAGTGGCTAGGTTGAAGTATCTAATAGACAAATCAAGGCCATTCTTGAGAGGACTGTTAGCTCAAGCAGAAAAGATTGGAGCAAAAGGCTAGATGATGCATTGTGGGCTTATAGGACTGCCTTTAAAACTCCTATTGGGACATCACCTTTCAATCTGCTATATGGGAAGAGCTGCCACCTTCCTGTTGAGTTGGAGTACAAGGCTTTGTGGGCTGTGAAGTTGCTGAACTTTGATATCAAGACAGCTCAAGAGAAAAGGGTCATTCAACTCCATGAAACTGAAGAGATAAGGCTTGGGGCTTTTGAGAGCTCAAAGATCTATAAGGAGAAGACCAAAGCTCTGCATGATCAAAAGATTCTGAAAAGGGAGTTCAAGGATGGTGATCTGGTGTTGCTGTTCAACTCTAGGCTTAAGTTGTTTCCAGGAAAACTTAAGTCTAGATGGTCTGGTCCCTTTAAAGTTCTTGAAGTCAGGCCATATGGAGCTGTGTCTTAGAAGGAAAGAATGGTCAAGAGTTTGTGGTAAATGGCCAAAGGATCAAGCACTATCTGGTTTCACAAGGGAAGGAGGAAGCTACATCAGTTCCCCTTCTTGATCCACCAACAGCCTGTTAAACAGGTTTCCAAAGTCAAACTTAGAGACTTTAAACAAAGTGCTCTTGGGAGACACCCTAAGCTTATCTTTGTACATAGTTCTTTTGATTTCTTCTGTTTTCTTTTATGTTTTAGAACTTTTTGATGGGTTTTGTGAGTTGGTCTCAGGTTCTAGGTGACTTTTGGAGGACCATGCTCAGTGATGAATGGAATGGAGCATGTGAGAGGGCTGAGAGAAGTGTTTAGGGTCTGAAAAAACTTGGAGAACGCCTCAATGCTACCTAGGTGTGCGGCTTGGATCAAGAAAGGACCAACTCGCAGCAGGACTCGTAATTTACACCGGCCTGGGCGTGCTACCTGGTGAAAGAGGACCAGGCCGCACAAAGGAGAAGAAGGGGCCAAGGTGACTAAGTGGAAAATCCAGCGGGTTGGGTGTGCTAGCTGATGTCCAAGAGTTTAACCCGCACGTCCACTCGCAATTCACTCCGAATTGGGCCTGCGACCTGGGAAGAGAGAAGACCTGGCCGCACCAAAAAGAAGAAGTCCAAAATGTCTAAGTCCGAGGTTGTGCTAGCTGGTGCTGCGGGTAAGAAGAGAGGAGTCCAAGCCGCATGAAGACTCGCAAATCACTCCGGGTTAGGCATGCTGGCTAGGAACAGAGGAGCCAGACTGCACCAAGAGGAGAAGGGCCGAAGTGATTAAGTCCCAAGATCTGCGATGTAGGAGCTGCGGCCTGGGACAAATGGAAACCAAACCGCACGGTGTCTCGCAAATCACTCCGAGTTAGGCGTGCTACCTGGGAAGCATGGAGGCCAGGCCGTACCAAAAGAGGAATGGCCGAGGTATCTTAAGTCCAAAGTTCTGCGAGTAGTTGCTGCGGCCTAAAACAAAAGAAGCTAACCCGCACACATGATCGCAATTCACTCCGGGTTGGGCGTGCTACCTGGGAAGCATGGATGCCAGGCCGCACCAAAAAAAGAAAGGACCCCGAGGTAGCCATGTCCCAAACCCAGCGAGATGGTCATGCGGCCTGGGAACAAAGGAGTTAAGCTGCACGTCCATTCGCAATACACTCCGAGTTGGGCGTGCTGGCTGGGAGCAAGGAGACCAAGTCGCAGCATGAAGAAGAGATAAAACCGAATTGAAGCACTTTTACTGCAGGTTGGTCATGCGGGGTGGACACAGAAGATCCCAGGTCGCACAAAAATAATTCCGGTTCTACACCGAGATGGTCGTGCGGCTTGATCCCGACGGTTCCAGGTCACACAAGGAGAGAAAAGAGGCCGGTCAACGAGAAAAGGACGAGTCAAAGCCTTGACTGGTCAAAATAGATCTATTGACCACCAGTCCAAAGGCTTGACCCTGTCCCACACTCTCTCTTCCTCACCATAAACCCGAGTTTGCAACTCTTTCTCTCATTTCTCTCCATTGTTTTCATCATATCTCTCTCATTTCTCCACCAAAGTGCTCTGAACTCGTTTTTGAGTTGTTAACAT